AGTAGAAGTTGAATCTCAGCTAGCCACGTAATGGAGTGTCGTTAAGCGTTGATCTGTACTACTTAAAGTGACCCGGCGCCTCAATTCTGCTCTCCTTTACTTTTTCTCCGCTCCTTTCTCTCGATTTTCGACAACGTTTCCCCCTCCAGATTTTCTTTCCAGTTTCAATCTATCCTGTCTTTGTACATTAATTCAGAGAATATCATATAATAAAGATACAACACATGTACAAATATTCTAATCTAACATTGCAAAGAACAATTAATTTATTTAGTTAACGCGTAACAATAAAGTAATTCATGAGTGAAAAAAGGGATAACCCTCGCAAACTCTTTTCCCCGGTTCATCCCTGATTCCAAAGCTCGTTTCACCGTTTCCTCACGCTTCTTTTCATTTCCCACTCTCGGGTACCCCATTGCGGCCCGTTTCTTACAATCAATTCACGACCCTCCGCCCCCCCCTTCCTTCCCTCCTGCCACTCCACTTTTCCTCCCCATTCGTTCCGTATTTCCCTCGCATACACGCGTCTTTACGCCTGTTCCCTCCCCGCTATCAGTCTTCCAACCCCCTCCTGGCTCCCACCACCACCCGGCCACCCCTATTCACCGCATCCGTATCCGCCGCGCAAAGTACACCCACTTTCAATAGTCACAGGCAGACTTCACAAACTGTTATATTTTCATTTATTTATTCAAGTATAAACCGCGTGTATGTGCGATTATAAATTGCACAGCCTGTTGTTTTATTATAATTATAGTTTGTTGTTTAAATGCGTTTTATATGCGACGTATGAAAATATGTATAAGTTGTTCGATTAAAATTCTCTGTTTTCCTATTTTTAAAGAATTGAATATTTGCCAAATACAAATAATGATAGATTCATCTATTTAGTGCTGATATTTTATTTCATATCTGAAACTCGATTTTTCATAGTGATCCGTCATTGATTCAGTGATCGAATGATTCAATACGAATATGTATATCGATATGAGTTTATACGTAATACATTAAAGCGAATTTTATTTGATTATTCATACGTAGGTGTATGATAACGAAACTTTTGTAGGGAGCTGTACGTTCCTCGAAGGCACACGTATATATACACGTACATGCATGTACGTACAGTAGATAGAATCGCGATGGAGTTTCCGCGGATAGAGTGGCTGCTCGAGGTGGAGAGGATGGATGGATGGATGGACGGACGGGGGTAGGGTGGGACGACCGGGGTGGATAAACCATGATGTCGTTGATTAATACGGTTTACCAGTAAGTGTAACGGAGTGTGCAGAATACGTCTGCTGCCCTACCCTCCCCAACCCTGCCAGGCTTCCTTCCCGACCACCACCACCACCCTTCTGGTTAGAACCAACCCCCGAGCCACGTGCCGATCAATGGCGTCTCGCCTCTGGTTGGTCGACCCGGGAACAACCCCCTCATTTCATCCCCCGTACCTTCCACCCCTGTCCTCCTCGCTCCTACGGGGAACCATTTTTGTTACTCTCGCTCGTCTACCCTTGTTCCACTTACTACTCTCCCTCCCTCCCTCCCTCTCCCCGCTACCCCGCCGTCTTCCTCTCTTTTTCCCTCGTTTTACACGAAATAGATTCTATCTATCCTGTCCTTCTTCTATCATGCGCGTGCTTCACGGAACAGGGTTGATCCCATAAGAGAGGGCGAGGGGTTTTTCTTATGAGGAGCATTGATTGCCAACAACCCTCTCCTCGCTTAGCCTCGTAATCTTACCTCTCGTCCCGTGTCGCGATACTACCCTCTATTTACTTTTCAGGCTGCTTTGTTTTAACCCTTTCAATCTTGAATCGCACTTAGCTCCTATGAGAATCGCCACGAATGTTTGAATGTGAAGTGTTTTAACTTCGTATCATAATTATTGCCCATGAATATAAACTAAGACAGAACTGTTTATTATGTTGTAAAAATAAATAGTTTATCTGCTGGTTTCATGAAATCTTTCTTTGTTTCTTATCTCATTTTTATACTTGATGGTATAGTTTCGCCATGTGTAAGGTTTGACGATTTTACTATACCGTCCCATCGATTAGAAATCGAGTGGAAACAGTTAACAGTAGTTATGTTTCAAGCTGATTAGAAATACATCGCCGGTAGATCAATCCCTTCCTTTGTGTGCATGCACACAAACACAGCGCGTAATTCAACGCGCTCTCAATTGCCATTAGACGTTAGTGCACCGGTAAATCTTCCTTGATAGGTCCCCGCTTACACTGGTGCTGCGTACACAGCCTTTGATCACCCGCAGTTGAGACGATATCAAGGGATCCCCCTTAAGTGAACACCTGATCTCCTTTACCTCTTCTGATACTCCAGTTCCAACATTTTCCGCAAAACGAAAAATTCAACCAAATCTTCGTTAATCACTGAAACTTTCTTGACTCTTCAAATTACGTCCAAGAAAAATAATTGTAAAACGTTTAATATAAAAACGATAACAATAAATCAATGTTGATTATTACTAAATTCAATTAATCGAATCATTTTACATTAAATTATGTACACTGCAAAGGTCGAGTTTATAAAATAAAATGAGAGTTTGATAAACGATATTTCATAATTAATTATGTGTACGCATGTACACAGGTCTGTACATAATATAAAAATTCTTTCAACGCATGCAGAAGGAAGGTAGGAGACAAAAGGTAACGAAACGCTCGAATTTTTTTTTATTAAATAAAACGTTTCGTTCACGGGAGAACAAGTTTATTTCTCGAATTAAAATTCCACTACCCACAAGAAGTTTTTCGGGTCTACAGTAATTAGTGGCTAAATCTTTAACATACGTACTTAGTTGGTTTAATTGGGATTATCATTTTATTTGGCGCACTGACAATAATTCCTATTGTTTTTCACCGGGATTTTTAATATACAGGTCCTCTACCTACTATGGTATCTAATTTTCCCTTCCTCGCAAGACTCACCATTCATGGTACTTGCTTTTTAATACACGCAACCGTAGTGCGACGAAAATTCAACAGACGAGTCAATTTACAATGTCCATTTCCCACACGAAGTCCGAGGTTCAACCGAACCACGAAACTCTCCTCAATTTTTATAGAACATTTATTTTCCCTTTATTTATAAATATTATCCTTCGCTGTTACACGGTTCTCGTAGACTGCAATCACTTAGCCGTTTGGAAAATAATATTTATATCAATGAAGAACGAAGTATTCTTGATCGGGTTACATTCCTATTGATCAGCCTGTGGATGTTAACGAAATTAATTAAGATCGAACAGGAAATCTGTTCCATTCCACTCCAGGCCATTGTTCATTACTACCACTTTTATACATATAATGCAAGGGATTGTCCGTATAATTAGAGCGAAGAGTTCAACAATTTTATCCTCCGTCTTGCACCGCTAAGAGGATGAAGAAAAGTTTGCGTCGAACCGTTGAAACATTAATCAAATTCGCCGTAACAGCAGCCCCTCCGTTCACGATTTCAACGATTCTTTTGTAACCGATCAATCGGACAAACAGTTTTCTGCTGGTTCCAATGTTGCATTCGAGCACGCGTCGCCGCGACGGATATCCGGTGTCACGATTAGGGATAATACGGACGTCCGTATTATTTGAATAATGCGATAACGAGTTTCGATCGTAGGTATATGATTCAAGAAAATTGTCGTAGACTCGATTAGCCGAGGGTGATAATAGAAATTATCCTATGTAGGCATAGCGTGTCGCATACCCAACAGAAACCGTTCCTATTGCGATCGTTTAGAAGTAAATTGACAAGGAAATGTATTACACATATTCGTTGAACATTTCGTTGTAGCAAGAATACATTTGGATTTGTGACGGATGATCGATCACCAGCAACGTATAAATATACGATTAAACACTAAAAGAAGAACGAATTCATCTGGAGGCTAGTTTCTGTACACGCACTGATCCACTTTCGAACTTTACCGAAACGACAGGGTAAAACCTGTCTTCGGTAAACCTTCACCTTATGCGATATTGTCTTATTCATAAACCAGAGGAATAAAAGAACAGTTATCTCAGATTTTCATCCACGAACATCGGGAGTGAAAACCTGTCCTGGGAATCCTAGAGGGTCTGCAGGGGCTTCGAAGGTTCTACAGATCCTAGGGATCCTCCTTGGTGGTCGGCTGTATCTGGTGGACTATGCTGGGTAAATGATGGTGATGGTGCTCAGGCCTGGTCGACAGTCTCAGTAACGGTGGTAGCAACGGCAATGGCAACGGTAACGGCAGCCCCGCTGGGAAACCTGCCAAGCCTCCTAAAAGCGCCGATGCCGTCGAGTGTTCCTGAGCTTTTCTTCTCAACTCGGCTAGACTGCTGTTCCTGTGAAGATCACCGGTCCCGGGTTTGCAGCAGCCGCACAGGGAGCCTGGCCACCCTGCCGGAGACCAGGACAGCATGTCCTGCAGGGAGCCGGGCCGATGGTCCGTCGATGTCCACAAGGAGGGGGTCGTCGACGTCAACGACGTGGGTGCCGTGCTCGCCACTTTGTTACCGAACAGGGGAGGCGAGAATTGGGCGGCCAGATGTGGCGAGAAGAACAGCGAAGTCGCGGGCTCCACTGGCCTGAAACCCGCCCCTGATCCGCTGCAAATTTAATTAATTGCGACACGATAATAATTTATTATCTGCCGATTAAACGTTATTTCTGTGAAATTAGAAACGATAATTCATGCATAACAACGAAGCTGTGAAAAAGATGTACAACAACTTTGATTTATACAATTCTTGTAAGGATATGTGATAAGAAAAATATTGAAAGATTCAGAAAACTGTTGAAGTTCCTTCGTTTCGATCGATCGATTAATTAAGAAAAATGAAATGGCACGTGCGAAAGAGAGAGACACGGGATTTCGAACGGGTGGAAGAGGGTGAAAAGCAGAAGGGCCGACGAAAGCGCTAACCCGATTAGCACGCGCGATATTCCGAGTCCTCTGGAGCTAGCAAACCAGCAGCGGAAGGCTCCCAGGCGCTGATGATTATCTCAAATATTAATCGCAAATATTGTTTAATTAATGTAACCGGAGCCTGGAGGCTGAACGAGGACGGGAAGCGTGAGTAGATAGACGCGACGCGAGAAGGAGGATCGAGATGGTAAACAGAGTGATAAGACCAAGGATAAACATGTGCTCTACGCTAACTCGAAGGAGAATTATAAACGGGAGCACGTAAATATTGAACGTGAAACATTGAACGTATCGGTAACGTTAATAACCTGGCGTATTATCGATAACATTGAATACGGATTTGGCGAGTATACTATTATTTTATTAATGGCACCGCAATTATACTTAGCATTCCGGTAACATGATTTTCTGATGAAATTGTTTGCCCGTGTGCAACATTAACCCGATCGCTGTTAGCATTATTGTTATTATTTGAAACGCGTTGAAACGCGAATTCTCATTCGCGATTACCAGGATATTGTTATTATATCTGTAGGATTACGGCATTGTACATTATATCTATACATAGAGAGAGAGAGAGAAGGAAAGAAGAATATGCTCAGACTGGGTTCTCGTTTAACTATTTACAAAAATACAGTCCCTTTTCCTCCTCAGTGAAAAGCTTGCTTTTCTCATTTTTCATGTTCCAGATAGAAACACATCTCAAGTAGAATGTTTCTTTAAACGCTTTCATTCTTCGTGCATTATGCTTTAACTTCTATTTTCCTTACTCCTATGCAACTTTATTATTCCCTAATCTTATTCATTCATATTGAGTCTTTTATTTCCTCTAATCCGTGAATCGCAAAAATTGTGATTTCTTTCGAACTCTTAAATGCAGCCAGCAATTAAATAAAAACGAGATGGTCTTCTCTAATTAAAAAATTGCGAATAACCGTTGTTAACATAAGAAGACTTACGGGTGGTATTATAAAGAATTAACGAGGCGACAATTATCGCGAGCTCCACTCAAAGCTGGTGTGGGGGATGAAAGCGGCGAGGAAGAACGGGAGAGAGAGGTTTAATGGCGCGTGTCGGGCATCCGGCGGACGTTCGCAGCAAGCGGAATCTGACGTTTAGAGACCCCCCCTCGACGGGGGGTTGCAGCTACGATATTTCCTAAAGACGTAAATATAAACGAGGCTAAAAGCTCACCTCTCCGCGGGTGGCCCGAGACCACCCACGGCGTTGTTGGCCGGCGGAGGCGGCGGCGGCGCCCTTATGGGGGTCGGCGGTGGCGTCGCGACGCCACCCAGGGAGGACGGGTGACTGTTGCCCTGCTGGTGAGGACGCGGGCTCACCGAGGCGGAAGTCGTGCTCGGGCTTCGAGAACCCACGGTCCCTCCGTCCGGGTTCGCGTCCTCCGCTTCAGGCGCGCTGCTGCTCGTCGTTCCTTTGCAAACAACGGAATCAAACTTATCATTGAACCGATCAATATTAGATTTTCATCATTTTAAATAAAAGTATTTAACAATGCAATCTTTGCTTATCACAAAATTATTTTATAATAGACATTAAGTATTTGGCTTCTTGCTCGATAAACAAGATTAGGCTCGTTATAATAAATAATTATAATCCATTTTTGAAGTAATCCAAAATACACAAGGCAAGTACTATAATAAAAGTATCTTAATAG